AGAAAAATTTTATTTGTAAAGATGGGAATAAACTACCTAAGGGTAAATTAGCTAGTTCCTATTTATCTTTTTACTAATAATGTGTACATATGTGCTTATGAGTATCTGGCTTTATTCTACACTAAAATTAAGTAGCTATGATTGATTTTGTTACCCTGGGAAGGAATATTTTGAGGAATTTTTATGTCTGTACAGAATATGAACTTAAACTAAAATCAGCTAATCCTTAATTTCTCAAATAATACCAGGTTTAAGTGAGTGAGTGAATGAATGAACAAACGAACAAACAATACTGGGTTTTGTTAATGATACATATTGTGAAGTAAGCACTGATTTTGGATTCAGGAAATGTGGATTCAAATTTAGAGGTACTGCCACTCTTAGAAATCATTTGGTTTTAGGGAACAGAAGCCCATTCAGACCTGCTTCAGTAAAAAGGGATGGATTTATTGGAGATATATGAGGGTGTCTTCCAGAATGCAAGAAGAGAAACTGGCTGCTAACAGTCTTGTCACAGATTACTCTTACTGTCTCACTGGAAGCAAATCATAGCTGTTTCTCCCTTCACATCTGCTCTTCTTCCCCTCCCCTTACCCCCCTTCCCCTTTCTTTCTGTTTTATTGTGCACATGCTTGCCCAAGCCCTGGCTTTAACATTGTTTCTTATTTTTAGCATTCAACAAAAACGAACTTGGTTTTCTTCCAGTATACTAATTCCTAGTTTCTTTTTTTTTTTTTTCCTAGTTTCTGAGAGAAAATCTAGTGAGCTCAGTTTAGATCAGGCACGTTCCTCTTATTCAGTCTATTCTAGCTGAAGGATTAGGATCATGGGGCCATAGGTCATGGTGGTAAGTAGAGTTGTGTGTTCTGGGTCTGGGGAAGGGGAGCTTCTCCAAGAATGTGTGAGGAAAAAGTAATTGGTAGAAAATGGATGACATCTCTAGAATAATATTTATTATCTCTGTGACCTTGAATGGATCACTTAGACTCAATTATTCTGTTTTCTCATCCTTAAAGCAAAATAATGATGATCTCCTTCTCACTCGTTTTTGTGATAAACAAATGAGACAAAGTACATAGAAACTTTTCTAAGGGCGCCTGGGTAGCCCAGTCAGTAGTTAATCGTTTGCGTTTGGCTCAGGTCATGATCTCAGGGTTCTGGGATCGAGCCCCACTTTGGGCTCCTTGCTCAAGGGACGCCTGCTTCTCCCTCACCCTCTGCCACTCCCCCTGCTTGTGTGTGCGCCTGCTCTCTCTCTCTCTCTGTCAAATAAATAAAATCTTTTTTAAAAAACTTTTCTAGGGGTGCCTGGGTGGCTCAGTCATTAAGCGTCTGCCTTCGGCTCAGGTCATGATCCCGGGGTCCTGGGATCGAGCCCTGCATCGAGCTCCCTGCTCAGCGGGAAGCCTGCTTCTCCCTCTCTCACTCCCCCTGCTTGTGTTCCCTCTCTCGCTGTCTCTGTCTCTGTCAAATAAATAAATAAAATCTTTAAAAAAAATTTTTCTAAATTACAAAGTTTTGTAGCAGTGTTAGAAATAAATCAAGTAAATAAGTTATTTAATCCATGCCATATATGCTTTTCTGTGAATTAACAGGATCTATTTTGGAAGCAATACTTGTATAATATGTTGAATTCCATATAGTTATCTATAATAAATTATTCCAATTAAAAGAAAATTCAAATGGTATAACTGCACAGCAAATTTTTTAATAGATTTGGATTACACGGCCACCTGGGTGGCTCAGTCATTAAGCGTCTGCCTTCGGCTCAAGTCATGATCTCAGGGTCCTGGGATCGAGCCCGGTATCGGGCTCCCTGCCCAATGGGAAGCCTGCTCCTCCCTCTCCCACTCCCCCTGCTTGTGTTCCCTCTCTCGCTGTCTCTCTCTGTCAAATAAATAAATAAAATCTTTTAAAAAAGAAAAGATTTGGATTATAGTTTAATAACACAATGCATAAAAATAGTTAAAGCATAAAGTTAGATAGATATTTACAAAGCAAAAGAGTTTTTGAGCTCCTGTTATGTGCTAGGCCCTATAGGATACAAAGAAGTCTGCAGGGCTGCTAAGGAATAGTGGCCTCCTTTCCCCAGGGAGCTTTTACAAGCTGAGAAAAATGTATACCAAGAGAGAATGATAAAAGTAATAAGCTGTACATGGCAAATTCAAATTAGACTATAGGATTTCATGCATTGAAGAGGTCATGGAAAGGTATCTAGAAGAAGCTGAGGTCTCAGACACGAGTAGAATCAAATAGGGAAACAAGAAGAAAGTACTTCAGGTAATGGAATGCAGAGTCTTATGAGTCAGCTGTATGGAATGGAATTTTTTTGAATAGGAAGATATGTTGAGCTGAGGGGTAGTAAGTCTTAAATGTGAGCTGGTACAGTTCAGACTGTATCCTATGAGTTTTGAAGGTTCTGGAACAACGGAATTATAGTAAGGAGCCAGTATTTTAAACAGTTACTTCCCTGGTGCCAGTGAATAAGATGGGCTTGAGGAGAAGAGTCTGGAGGCCTCATCTCCCAACTTCCATGCCTCTTTCCAAAAAAAAAAAAAAAAAAAAAACAGCGTAAATAATTTTATGATGGGAATGCTGATTGCTACCTAAAATAGACTGCACATTATGTATCCCAGTCCTTCTCATTTTCCTTAAACATAGATTGTTTTTTCAAATTATAATTATTTTTCACTTTGTCATTCTTACCTACCATGTCTCCAGATAACTTGCTTAAGGCCAACATAAAATTTATTTCAGTAGGTTTTAATTTTTTTTTTTATTTTTATCTTCTTTTTGAGGAGGGGTGGGGGGAGGGACAGAGGGAGAGAGAGAGAATCCTTTTTTTTTTTTAAGATTTTATTTATTTATTTGACAGAGAGAGACATAGTGAGAGCAGGAACACAAGCAGGGGGAGTGGGAGAGGGAGAGGCAGGCTTCCCGCCAAGCAGGGAGCCCGATGCAGGGCTCGATCCCAGGACCCCGGGATCATGACCTGAGCCGAAGGCAGACGCTCAACGACTGAGCCACCCAGGCGCTCCGGGAGAGAGAATCCTAAACAGGCTCCACACCCAGCACGGAGCCGACCTGAGCCGAAATCAAGATTCAGACGCTCAACCAGCTGAGCTGCCACCTACCCCGATTTTACTGTTTTAGAATAGAAAGAATACTGAGGACAAGATTATACAGCGTAAGTGCTTATCAAACCTAGTGTAGATTCATTTTCAGTGAATACACTTTGAATCAGCTTGGTATTCCTCAGTTATGTGAGCTCCTACTTGGCACTACACTCACAGGGTACCTTATAAATACTGTTGAACTCTTAAGTGGCAAATGCCTGAGCATTTTCCCTCTGTTGCTTTGAGTCAACTGTGTCATCATTTGGGACATGTCAGCGGGGTAGAGGAAGAGCCAGTGCTGCTTCATAGGCTCATGCTGGAGGTGCCAGATTGGGTTGTCAAGTGTCCCCCCACTGCCAGCACCATCAGTAAGAACCAGGGTCTGTGAGGCCGCTTGCCTCGCAACAGCTTTCTCTGTTCATGACCATGTATACTGGAATGAGCCCTTTAAAGATAAAATCAGTGTGTCATAAATTCTGAAAAAATTCTTAGAAATGAGGTGAGGTTGGCTAAGCCCTACAAAAATGGCAACAGAATTTTCTTTTAATTCCTCATTCTGACTTGTTTTTAAGCCACCTCGTCAGTGTGTCTGTGTAATGTGATATAATGCTTTGCATCTCGTTTATGAAGAGTCTTTGATCACATATCAGTACTGAGGCATGAGGGCCTAAATCTTTAGATCCAGGGATTAAGAGAGAGGAAGGGAAGGAGAAAGGGAGAAAGAAAAGGATAAAAGAAAGAGACGGGCGTCTGGCTGGCTCGGTTGGTGAGGCATGTGACTCTTGATCTCAGGGTTATGAGTTTGAGTCCTATGTTGGGTGTAGAGATTGCTTAAAAATAAAATATTTTTTAAAAAGGGAGAGAGAGAATATGTGTATATTTTACAGGGAGGATATTCCTTATTCTGAATTCTTAGAATCAGTAGAGAAAAGGGTTTGTTGTAATACTTATTACAGCTAGGATGAGTCATTCTGGACATAAAAAAAAAAAAATCAGAGGAAGGGATGGTGGGTCACAATCACAAAGACTTTTTAGTGACTCACTGTAGTGGCTCTACAATTACCCTGCCCCTTAGGCTTGCCCTTTCTGCCCAATCCTTCTTCCCCTTTAGGAGGAAAATCATTTAGGAAGATAAGCTCAGGGGTGCCTGGGTGGCTCAGCTGGTGCAATGTCTGCCATCAGCTCAGGTCATGATTCCCAGGTCCTGGGATTGAGCCCCATGTTGGGCTCTCTCTCTCTCGGGCTCTCTGCTCAGTGGGGAGTCTGCTTCTCCCTTTCCCACTCCCCCTTCTTGTGTTCCTGCTCTCGTTACCTCTCTCTGTCTCTCAAATAAATAAAATCTTTTAAAAAAAAAATGGGAATTTTGAATTTATAAGTAAAAAAAAAAGGGCAGTCTTCAAGTGCCATGGAAAGTAAGATTTCATATTTTCCATATGTTGTCCAGAAACTACTTGAAAAATAATTCAGTGGATTAAAGTTATGACAGATAGTCAAACTAGACAAAGTATTTTTAATAAAACTTAAATATTCAGCGTGTTTTATTTTATTTTCCTAAGGGTCAGGAATCATCAACTGCCAGGTTACAGGTAACCATGAGACTGAAACAAGAACATAAAATCTGAAAGAATAAACGAGTGTTAACTGCTTTATCTGAGGGTGTTGCCTGTGCGCATGTGTTGTAATGGTAATTCTGATGTGGGACTGAATTCATGATTCAGATGGAACCTTTGAACAGTTTAATCAACATAAAGTGTTTATTACCCGTTCACACTTCTGCTAAGTATGAAAGAAGTGTTCTGAGCAAAGTGCTGTAATGCTTTAGTTCTTTTCCAGCTCAAGGTTATTCTTAGGATCTACATCTTTGCTGTTGCTACTGTTCTGTAGGCATATTCAGAACATGAGTGAGATCAAGACTGACGTTGGACGAGCTCGGGCGTGGATAAGACTATCTCTAGAAAAGAAGCTCCTGTCCCAGCATCTCAAGCAGTTGCTCTCCAACCAGCCACTCACCAAGTAAGAGACAGCCTCTTAGACATTTCTGCTTCTGTGACCTGTGTGTCTGCAAAGCAGATTGTATAAACTGGCAGACTGGTGACTTCAGCATGAATTGCTGACTCCTGTGCACATGTGTTCTTCCTTTCTAACAGGCATGTGCATTGGAAACTCCATGGTTTGACATAGTATTTGATTTTACCTGGGAGGACACACCAAACTTGACAGCCAAAGGCCAGATTGCTCTGTTCTCAACCAGAAAAAAAGCTAACTAGTCCACATAGGCTGACAGTAACATCCAAAATATAGGTTGAATTTAAGATCACAGCAAAACCTGAAGTAGCAAAAAAAAAGTCCGCATTAACAGGTTTCTTTTGAGAGTCTTGCCAATGCTTACATTCAATTGTTTAGAGCCAGGAAAGCAATCAAATGCATGTTACTTAATTGCTAACTGTTTTAATAGGTTTCCCTTTATTCCATCAAGAAACCCTCTTAGATAAAATGCATCATCTATATAATATATATGTTAGACCTAATTCGAAGGCTGAGAACTTAGGTCTCTAGAGCAAAGCTATGCAAAAAATTCAACAAAGATCTCAAAGATCTCAAGACTGTTGGAATCTCATCATGGTAATATTCTTTTTGTAGTTTTGCATTTGTACACATCATCAATTGGGCTACTTACCCCTGGAGCATTTTAAGATGAGTCTTAATGTCCAAAGAGTAGGGTTGATAAAGAATGCAAAGTGAGGTATAACCTGTGAACCTGATCTTGTTCTCTGAAACTGGTTACTCCCCTCACCCATCCCTGCCCATTATAAATCAGTCATGGCCACTGTGGCCAAACTACATAAAGTGCTACATAAAGGTTGGGTGCCTGGGGGTACCTGGCTGGCTTAGTAAGTAGAGACATTTGACTCTTGATCTCAGGGTCATGAGGTCAAGCCCCACATGTGGCGCAGAGTTTACTTATAAATACATACATACAGTTGCACACCTGGCTGGCTCAGTTGGTAGAGCATGCAACTCTTGATCTTGGGTCATGAGTTCGAGCCCCATGTTGGGTATACAGCTTACTTGAAGAAGAAAATCCCACTACATAAAGGTAAATACCAAGTATTTCACATGTTTTCTTCTGTACTTTCTTCTATGCATGCTCTCTTAGTTAAGATTATACTGTATTTACAATTCAGTATCATCCTTTTTTTTTTTAAGATTTTATTCTTAAGTAATCTCTACACTCAACTTGGGGCTCGAACTCACAACCCCAAGATCAAGAGTTGCATGCTTTTCCAACTGAGCCAGCCAGGCCCCCCAGTATCATCCGTTTTTTAGCTTAGTGTATTATAAACATTTCACTATATCGTAAGAGTTTAAGCTGTGAAGACTGAATGGCTATGTTCAAATACTGCCTTTACTGTTTACTATTTGAATGACTTTGGACAAGATACTTAACTTTTTTGTATCTCTGTTTTCCCTAATTTATAAAATGAGAATGCTAGTAGACTTACTTCATCCAGGGTAATCATGAGGATTAAATGTATCAACAACTATAAAACATTTGGAAAAGTGCTTAAATATAAGTGCTTAATAAAAATTATTATTTTTAGTAGTAGTTTTGTTGTTGTTGTTAAAACACTTCATAAACTTTATTTTCGATGCTCACACAGTATTCCAATGTATGCATATACCGTGATATATTTTTCCTTCTACAAATAACATTTTAGTGGACATCTGTGAATAAACCTTGCCCGTACTTCTTCTTATATTCTTAGGACTGAGTCCTAAAAGTAAAATTAATGTATTTGGCTTTGACTAAGTGAAGGTGTTTATTTTTAGTACCAGACATAATGAAAAGCATGAAAAATATACTATTATTTTGTGCTTGTCTTACCCATTCCTAGGAAGCTTTATAAGCGTTATGCTTTTCTACGCTGTGAAGAAGAAAGAGAGCAGTTTCTTTACCATCTTCTTTCCCTCAATGCGGTTGACTACTTCTGCTTCACCAGTGTGTTCACCACTATCAGTAAGTCTGGAGAACTGGCTATTAAGTGAAGAGTTGCTCAGGCAACTAATGGAATAAAAGTTTATATTTTTAAAAGTGAGATGCATGATAGTACAGTGAGATAGACATTGTGAGTGAGGCTGGCCCCAGACCTCTATTTAGGAATGAAGGTTGTGCCCCGGCAGCTGGGAGGACTGCGGGAAGGCAGCCCTCAGCTGTCAGCCCCTGTGGGGAGGGCCTCACCAGAACAAACTGCCTTCCCCCCACCCCCAACCCTCCAAGATGATCCCTCCTAGCAGGGCCAGCCAGCATCCTAGGACTATCATAGGGCTGTTCCAGAACTTACTATGGTATCAGCTGAGGACTTCACTGTGACTACGTCACAGCTCAGCTTCTCTCTCAGCCACGTGGTGATCCCAGGAGCAACATCGTCCATGCTGATTTCTGACTTCATCTGCTTCCCAGGAAGCCCAGTCTGCAGAAGGAAATGGGCTGGATGTTAAAAAGGAATGTTTGATTAGGGATGCCTAACTGGCTCAGTCCATGGAGCATGCAACTCTTGATCTCAGGGTCATGAGTTTGAGTCCCATGTTGGGCCTAAAGCCTACTTAAAAAAAAAAAAAAATGTTTTATTAAACAAATGGTCCAGTATCTTACATAAAACACAAAAAATTTTGGGGCGCCTGGGTGGCTTAATCATTAAGCATCTGCCTTCAGCTCAGATTATGATCCCAGAATCCTGGAATCAAGCCCCGCATTGGGCTCCCTGCTCAGCGGGAAGCCTGCTTCTCCCTCTGCCACTCCCCCTGCTTGTGTTCCTGTCTTGCTGTGTCTCTCTGTCAAGTAAAATCTTTAAAAAAAAAAAACAAAATTTTAAAAATCAGCATACCATAATAAACGTATAAAACATCATTAAACTTTGTTGATTCAGAAAGACTTCAAGACCTTACTGAATAATGTAGGTCTGTAGAGGGAGTAAATGCTGACTGGATATGTGTTTTTGATGGAAAGTCAAATTATAGCATTTATTCTATTCACCAGTACTAATGCTTATGTGCAGCGGCTCCTCTTCACTCCCCACTTTGGAGGATTTTTACTTTTGTCAGTTAGGAATTATGTTTTGCTCCAAGAATCAGAAACTTGGAAAACAGTGCTTTAAACAAATAGGTGGTTTCGAGGCACCTGGGTGGCTCAGTTGTTAAGCGTCTGCCTTTGGCTCAGGTCATGCTCCCTGGGTCCCGGGATTGAGCCCCACATCGAGCTCCCTGCACGGGAAGCCTGCTTCTCCCTCTCCCACTCCCCCTGCTTGTGTTCCCTCTCTCACTGTGTCTCTCTCTGCCACATAAATAAATAAAAATCTTTAAAAAAAATAGGTGGTTTCATATTTCTTATATAATGAGAAGTTTCAAGATAGTCCATAGTACGTTCATGGACCCAGGGTCTTTGTCCCTCTCTTCCTAGACAGTCCTGAGTGTGTGCTAATCACCTCGTGGTCACAAGATGGCTATTCTCAATCCACCTTCTAGCAGGAAGGAGTGCCAAGAAGGAAAGGGCAGAACCTGTGCTAGAAAAACGGGATTTTCTAAGGAATCCCAATAAATATAACATTTCACTGGCCAAAAATTTGTAGGTTTTGGCTTTCTAGTCTCTGATAGAAGCAGACAAGGAAAAATGGAGCTGAACTGGGTATTGGGCCAACCAGTAATACCTATCAGCTATCCATTAGTATCTAAACTATCAGTCAGTTTAGTACATTACTGCTGGTATAAGAAGCTAAGATGTTAGGGGTGGCCTGGGCAGCTTAGTTAAGCGCCCAACTCTTGATTTCAGCTCAGGTCCTGAACTCGGGGTTGTGACATCAAGCCCTGTGTCAGGGCTCCCCACTCAGTGGGGAGTCTGCTTGAGATTCTCTCCCTCTCTCTCTCTGAATAAATACACCTTTTTTTTAAAAAAAGAAGTAAGATGTTATGTGCAGTTTTAAAAGAAAAGAAATAGCAGAGGTAGTTAGGATTTCTAAGATCCTACCTATATCTATAGATTTCATTTAAGTAACTTTTCTAAGAATTGAGATCTTCATGAAAGAAATAGTTTAAGTTTAATAATACTACTCCTTATTCTATGTAATCACTGTTGTGCATCTGTGGTCCCTTTGCAGGCTCAGAACTGCTGACCCTAAACCCTTTTTTTTTTTTTGCAGCTTTTTTAATCCTCTCCATGAAAGGGAATGAAAGAAGCCTCTGGCACCTAAAATAAAGTCTTGCACTAACCTCTTCTGCTTTCAGTTTCTAAACCCATTTGATTCTGATGATTACTAAACCATGAAAGTATGGCCTTTCCTCTGACATTTTCCTTTCCTTCAGCCAAAATGAAAAGACAGAAAGGGAGGTTATTCACCCAACATAAAGTCATTTATGTAAAATTAGGGAAATGAACCATTTATCCCATTCACTTTCCTCATCTAAGAGTACATTGAACCACGATCTCATTTTCTGAGGCTGTATCTGGGCACCTTGTCCAATAAATGTGTATCATCCTATGTGTAGATCTTTCAAGGAGGGTTTCTAATACACCTTCTTAGGACTAAAGGAGCAGAAATCCCAATGATACCAACAAAAATTGATTCTGCTTTTAAAAAAAAAACAAAAACAAGCATGACTCTGAGGGATGAAAATGCACCAGTGTGTTTGAGCCATCCCCATTTTTAAAAGAGAGTGGAGGGAGTGTGCAATGTATAGAGAGCCATCCTGTTTGAGCAAAAGATGGTGATAGGACAGTGACATCTAGTGGTGTGCCTTTTGAAGAGCCTTCAGAAGGAAAAGACTGCACACAAATTTCTCTCTACATTTTGATTCTTTCCCCAGGGCTCCTCTTGTACCTCCTGAGTGGCCTCAATAACTTTCCAATTGTGGTTTATATGTGGTTTATGTCCAGAATGGTATTGTTTATTACTCTTGGCTTTGCTTATCATGGTGTAAAATTGGGATGGGGCATCTGGGTGGTCCAGTTGTTGGGTGTCTGCCTTCAGCTCGGGTTATGGTCCCGGGGTTCTGGGATCGAGCCCCACGTCGGGCTCCCTGCTCGGCGGGAGACCTGCTTCTCCCTCTCCCACTCCCCCTGCTTGTGTTCCTGCTCTCGCTGTCTTTCTCTCTATATCAAATAAATAAAATATTGAAAAAAAAATTGGGATGGGAACGTTCTGAAACATTGCCCGAGAAAATTAGCAACAAGGGGATAGTGTCCAACAAGTCATTCACACCCTTTTACATACGAAACCATATCAGTAACCATGTTCATTTATATACTTGATTTTAGAACAAAATTTAAAATGTTAAAGCAATGAAAATTCTGTATAGCAGTCAGTTCTGGTGTTAATGCCTGGGATTGTTTTTTATAAATGTAGAAGTTATATATATCACCATGGTGATACTCTGCATGCCATGCATACCTGGTGATACACATGCCATGGAAACCATCAAAAGTGTTGAGACTTGTGATTTATAAACTGGACCTCATCTTTCTAGACTGGAAGAGGCAATCTCATCTCTTTGTTTAAGTATATCTTGATAGATCATAATGAGCAAACTACCTATGAAAGCCAGCAGAGTCATTAATATATATTTGCTTTATTATCAGGAGAATTTTATTGTAATTTTTACTTAATTTTAGCATTGTTCTTTCAGTGATTCCATATAGGTCAGTGATCATCCCCATCAAAAAGCTGAGCAATGCGATCATCACATCGAACCCTTGGATCTGTGTATCGGGAGAGCTAGGAGACACGGGAGTAATGCAGATTCCCAAAAACCTCCTCGAAATGACTTTTGAGGTAGGTTCAGCCAATACCTTTCTTAGCAGAAAATGTCATACATAGTTCTTCACAAGGATTCCAGTTTTACTTTTTCATTTTTCCTCAAATAATAAAAGGAGTACTCAAGCATGCAGGATCATTTTTGTGAGTATACACCTAAAATTGTCTTAAATACAGTTACTTGTTTTGTTTTTTTATTGCTATAATTTTAATTATTAAGCTCTATTTTTCTACTTGCAATGGAATACTTTGGGGCTTTGCTAGGTCCTATTCCATGATTGCTGATGCCTAGCACAGAACTTGGCAAGTAGGGAACATTCTAGTAAATGCTTTTCCCACAGTGGTTCTCTTCCTGAATCTGGACAAACGGACAGGAGAGCTGACATCCATGCTTATGGCTTGTAAACCACATGGTGACATTTGTAGAGTGATTCTATAAAAATACCTTTCGATATTGTAGTCAGTTTTCAGGTCTCAGCTGGTGAAATGTTCCCCCTGTCTTTGAGCCCCCTGCAGGCTGATCCTGGCATGCAGGAAGAAGACAAACTCATGCTCGTGTTTCAGGAGGGAAGTAGTTCTAACTGAATGTCCTATTGTGTTCCTTGGGGTCTGGGAATAGCAGTTTCCACTCAGTCATAACACACCCAAGAGCCCGTTTTAGCCCTCTTTCTCTAATGGATTCATTATGTATAAAAGATTAAAACCCTTCACCTTTCTTTGACTAGCAAGTATGGAACATAAACTCTACTATAAATCCAGTCATTACTGTTTCCAGACTCTCTCTCATTTCTGCCTAGTTCTTTCCATCTTTCCTGCCACAGCTAATTCAGGATGCCCTCCTCCCTCACCTGGATGGCTATGATGCCTTCTCACTTGATACGAAGAAGTCAAGGGCTTTAAGAACTCAGCTCTGATGTTCCCAACCATACATAGTCAGTTGGGGGTTCTGTGATATTTTATCAGAATTTAAAAGTCAGAATTTAATTGAGATTTATTTTTACTCTTCCTTTTATCATTGCTTTCGTTTGTACTTGTCCAACAAAGGCCAGGAAGGACATTGATAACTGTACTTTTTTAATGATAGTTTCAAAGACTTCTAGTGTTGAGGTCAGTTCTGCCTTAGCATTTTATTAGAAACAGAAAAACAGCTGTGTCAGTGATTTTTTTTTTTATATCTATGGTTATTTCCTGACCTCACTGTGACCGAATCTAAATAGGATCCTTTTGCCACTTCTTGAAATTCTTCTCATCCTAAAGGCACCCCTCACTTGATAGTTAATATCCATATGTGTCCTATCTCATAGATGCACTATAGTAGATGTGAATATATTTTTCTAGTACAAAGCAAAGCACATTATGCAGGATGGGTCCTCAGCAGTTGTTAAATTAGATGGAACCAAAGTGCCACCACTAAAGCTAAGTGGTAGTGGGCGTGGGATCAGGCTCTGAATAACCTGTGCTCCTGTCCCTCCAGTGCCAGAACTTGGGGAAGCTGACCACTGTTCAGATTGGCCATGATAACTCAGGACTGTTAGCCAAATGGCTAGTGGATTGTGTCATGGTCAGAAATGAGATCACAGGACATACATACAGGTAAGTAAATGTCCTTGGGAGCTCAGAATTCTTTGAGCCTCTTTAGACAAGAAAAGTTTTAAGAATTGTTTTCTTCTGGGGCGCATGGCTGGCTCAGCCTGAAGAGCGTGCGACTCTTGATCTCAGGGTGGTGAGTTTGAGCCCCATGTTGGGTGTAGAGATTACTAAAAAAATAAACTTTAAAAAAGAACTGTTTTCTTAAGCTTTCTCACTACCTTCTGAATTTTAGTTAAGGGTTTTGGGTTTAGTTTTACTTTTAATTTTTTATTTATCTGAGGGTGAGAGCGGAGTAAGCAAGAGACAACACGAGTGGAGTGGGGAGCTGCAGAGGGAGAAGGAGAAGCAGGCCTGCTGCTGAGCAGGGAGTTTCGGGGTTGGGGGAGGCTTGATCCCAGGACCCTGGGATCATGACCTGAGCCACCCAGGCGTCCCTTAGTTTTACTTTTTATGTAATACAAAATTGCCACCAAAAAAACTTTTAAAAAATTGTGTTTGCTCTCAATACTTAGTCCACAAGTGTTGGAAAAGATTGATATAACTGTGATTTAAAAAAAAAAACAAAACAGCTTGAAGTAATTTAGTAGAAGGAAAGGATCTTTTGGACTCTACTAGTTATAGCTGCTACTCCTCTTTGGAAACATTGTCCTCTTTTCTCCTATAATTCATCTCCCACATTAACTTCTAGTTTGAAAATATTCTTGTCAGAACTAACCACAGTATTTTAATATAGACTAGGTATGAGAAAATACTGAATCATTGTAATTTGGTTGAATGTGATAACAATTTCTGGCTATATAAGAAAGGATGTCCTTATTTTTCAGAGATTCATACTGAAGTGTTTTTAGGGGTAAAACATCCTAATGCATGGAATGTACTTTAAAATACTTCAACACAGGGGCGCCTGGGTGGCTCAGTCATTAAGCATCTGCCTTCGGCTCAGGTCATGATCCCAGGGTCCTGGGATCGAGCTCCGCATCGGTCTCCAGACTCAGCAGGAAACCTGCTTCTCCCTCTCCCACTCCCCCTGCTTGTGTTCCCTCTCTCACTGTGTCTCTCTGTCAAATAAATAAATAAAATCTTTTAAAAAAATAATAAAATACTTCAGTGCAAAATACAAAGCATATGGCAAAACATTAAAGAATATGGGTGTCTGTTACACGATTCTACTTTTCTGTATGTTTTGAAATTTTAAAATTAAAATTTAAAAAACAACCCATAGGCACTGAAATGATGGGCTTCACCCATGGTGCCATTTTAAACATTCTGATTAAAACTAGTAAAGTGCTGGTGATGGAGAAGTTGTTTTTCTGACCTACAAGGTTCCCATGCGGGCGGTGGTTGGGGAAAGGCATTGATGATGGAAGCCTGGAGAGAATCCTTATTGGGGAATTGATGACCTCAGTGGCAGATGAGGATCTGGTAAAGCAGTGTCGGACTCCACCCCAACAGAAATCCCCCACCTCGGCTCGGAGACTGAGCATCACTTCACTGACAGGAAAAACCACCAGTAAGTACCACCATTGATCGTTAAATTTGCAGTGTGCCCCAGATGTTGCGGACATCATGTGGCCATTTCACAGGAAACTGTTGCATTAATGAATTGTGGCAAGATTAAAAAGAAGAAAGCTGAGGAAAATTAATTTGGGCCAATGGAATTTGAAAGAGGGAGGGAGGAGAGAGGAAAGAGAAAAAATAAGGCAAGAATTAACAAATAATTAAAAGCCTGAAGAATTTAGATATTAAAATCAAACAAAAACTGCATGCTCTGTTTTAATTAAGCTATGGAAATGTGAGTAAATAATATTTTGACTGAAACTTAAAGGAAGAAGGGCACCTGGCTGGCTCAGTCAGTAGAGCATGCGACTCTTGATCTTGGGGTTGTGAGTTCAAGCCCCATGTTGTAGGGTGGATTGTACTTTAAAAAAACAACTGGGGTGCCTGGGTGGCTCAGTCGTTAAGCATCTGCCTTTGGCTCAGGTCATACTCCCAGGGTCCTGGGATCGAGCCCCGCATCCAGCTCCCTGCTCTGCCGGAGGCCTGCTTCTCCCTCTCCCACTCCCCCTGCTTGTGTTCCCTCTCTCACTGTGTCTCTCTCTGTCAAATAAAATCTTTAAAAAAACAACAACAACCTTAAAGGAGGAATAAGGACAATTCATATTACAATATTCCCAGAGAGCTACATCTAGCTATCCAGAGCCCCTTATTCTAAGAGAAAATCTAAAAATTTCTCTCCCTACCCCTGTGTTCCTATGGAAGTAATAAAATACTATAAAGGAGTGACTTCTGTGGATAGGATGCTATACTATCTTTAATACTACCATAAACTTCCAATCTATGCTAATGTGGGCTTTAGTAGGCTGAATAATGTCTCCCAAGGGTATTAGATCCTAATCCCAAAATCATTAAATGTTACTTTATTTGGAAAAAAAGATCTTTGTAAATGTGATTAAATTGAGAATCTTGGGATGGGGAGATTATCCTGGATTATCTAGGTGGGCCCTGAATGCAGTCACACATATTCTTAAAAGAGGGAGGCAGAAATTGGAGTGATGGAGCCGCAAGCCAGAGAATGCCAGCAACCACCAGAAGCTTGAAGAGGTGAGGAACATGTGCTCCTACAGAGCCTCCAGAGGGAGGGTGGCCCTGCCTTGATTTCTGCCCGGTGATAATTTCTGACTTCTGGCACTCCAGAACAATGACTGAATAGATTTCTGTTGTCTTAAGTCACCAAGTTTGTGGTAATCTATTACAGGAGCCACAGAAAAACTAAGAGGCAGTATGATTAGTGAAAAATTACAGAAGTTTATCAGTGAAGTGGTTTTATTTCAGCCATAGACAATAAAGCCGTAAGTAGAATATAACAGAACCTGAGAGGTTTTCAGTTTACCAACAAAGAGGTTTCCTTAGATATTTTCAGTCCCTATCCATTTATTAGCACATGGCGATCTATTAACTATTAGAATGATATAGTCTAAAAATTCCCCTTATTCTTTCTCAAAGTAGTCCCCTGATTCATAATTCTTTATTGCCTTCAGAGGTAGACTTCACACACTCACTAGAAAAACGAAAATTATAAAGACTGATAATACCAAATATTGGTGAGGATGGAGAGCAGTGGAATGCTCAGACATTGCTAGTGGGAATGCCAAAGGAAAAACAGTTTGGAACTTTCTTATAAAGACATGCACATGTTTAGCACACACTTGACACAGAATCCCACTCCTCAGTATTTACTCATGAGAAATGAATACATGTAGCTACAGGAAGACTTGCAGTCCCATGTTCATAGGAGCTCTATTCATAATAGTCAAAATGGAAATAATCCAATATCCACCAGCTGGTGATTGGAGAAGCAGAACGTGCTATATCTATTCAGTGGCATACTACTCAGCAATATATAAAAATGAACAAACTATTGATGTACCTAACAATGTGGGTGAATCTCAGAAGCATAATGCTAAGTAAAAGAGAACAGACACAAAAGGCTAGATGCTGTATGATTCCATTTATACTGAATTCTAGAAAAGGCAGTATAATAATGATAGAAATCAGAGCATCAGTTGCCAGGAGTTGAGAGCTAGGGAAGGGGATTGACTGAAAAAGGAGCACAGGGGAACTTTTTGGGTTGATAGAAATTTTCTACATCATGACTGTGGTTGTTGCATGATACATGTGTCAAAGCTCCTCAAATTGCACACTTAAAATTGGTGAATTTATTGTATGTAATCCTAAATTGATTTAAAAGACTGACTTAAGGGGGCGCCTGGGTGGCCCAGTCGTTAAGCATCTGCCTTCCACTCGGGTCAGGGTCCTGGGATTGAGCCCCACATCGAGCCCCACATTGGGCTCCCTGCTCCGCAGGAAGCCTGCTTCTCCCTCTCCCACTCCCCCTGCTTGTGTTCCCTCTCTCGCTGTGTCTCTCTGTCAAATAAATAAATAAAATCTTTAAAAGTAATGGGGCGCCTGGGTGGCTCAGTTGTTAAGCGTCTGCCTTCGGCTCAGGTCATGATCCCGGGGGCCTGGGATCAAGCCCCGCATTGGGCTCCCTGCTCAGCGGGAAGCCTGCTTCTCCCTCTCCCACTCCCCCTGCTTGTGTTTCCTCTCTCACTGTGTGTCTCTCTGTCAAATAAATAAATAAAATCTTAAAAAAAAAAACAAACTCATTAGTACAATGCTATTTTAGAATGAATAAAAGTTTTCAAAATAGATCTTCATGTTTGTTTGTTTTTTTTAAGATTTTATTTATTTGAGAGAAAGAGAGAGCACGAGAGGGGGAGGGTCAGAGGGAGAAGCAGACTCCCCGCTGAACAGGGAGCCCGATGGTGGGACTCAATCCCGGGACTCCAGGATCATGACCCGAGCCAAAGGCAGTCGCCCAACCAACTGAGCCACCCAGGCACCCTTAAAGATTTCATTTATTCGTTTGAGACAGAGCATGAGCAGGGGGAGAGGCAGAGGCAGAGGGAGAAACAGGCTCTGCTGAGCCGGGACCCCTTCATGGGGCTCGATCCCAGGATGCTGAGATTACGACCTGAGCTGAAGGCAGACACTTAACTGACTGAGCCACCCAGGTGCCCCAAGATCTTCTTGTTTAAAAAAGAAAATATTCAGGGGTGCCTGGCCGGATTAGTCGGTAGAGCATATGATTCTTGGTCTTGGGGTCATGAGTTTGAGCCCCACGTTGTACATAGAGATTACTTTAAAAAATAAAAATCAAAAAAATATATTCAGAGCAAGGAAAAAGTAACTAGCAGCTAAGAGGCCACAGTACCAGTCCTTCAATCATTAGAGGTTCCCATTTTAGCAATCTTTATGCATTGGTGTAGAAAAACTTGAGTTTTACCTGAAGAATGTTTTATGCAAGATATCGTCCAGCAGTATGAATTCAAAGATTCTTAAACACTAAAATGTGTAGTTTGTCCTTTATGGTGTGACATATAAGTTAAATTTAATAGTTAATCACCACAAGAAATTACCAAATATTTAATTTTTTCTCTTGTTACCTACCCGCTTCTATCCCTAAAATCTGTTTACCATCTTTTTTTTTTAACCGTTCTTGGGGTTTGGGAGGCAAAGGCAGTGTAGATCCCATTCAGGCAGCCCACCACACTCTCCCCCAAGAACGGGGCCTAAGCATGTGTGGGCGGGGGGTGGTGAGGGCGGGTGGCAAATGAAGCAGTGCCCACATGGACTGAGTACCAGAAAAGGAAGCAGTTCTGGGCTTCGGGTGCCGCAGTGTACCAGGAATCTTCCCTTTTCTTTCAACACAATAGCAAAAACACAGATTTCAGGTTAGCCATTTAGAGCTTCACAAACCTGGGTCTGTGCCCACTAAGGGACTCAGAGGTAGGTAGGTAAGAGGGTACCTGCAAGTGATGCTGTGGGTCTTTCCCACCTCACTCCTCAGATTCAGGGGCTTGCTAGCACTTTGTGACAGGTACCATACCAGGTGATTTACACCTGTAATATCTCATTCACCTTTCCCAGTGACCCATGAGGTGTATATTTTCCCTATTTTAGGCTGAGGAAATTCAAACTCAGAAGAAATTTGACATCTAACCAAAGTTATAAATTGCAAGTGGTGAGGTTGGAATTTGAATGTAGGAGTCTGTTGGATTCTTTTCCTTTGTGCCAAGATGCCTCCCACTGGGCCGAACTGGCCTGAGGCAAGTTTCAACAGGGCCCCTGAGAAGCCAACCTGCTGTGGTGAAGTGTTCCCTGCCTGGTGGACACAGGTAATACCCCATAGTACTTTAGTTTATTACCCTTGCATGAGAATTCAGCTGCTGTTCATTATTTTTTCAGAACCCAATGCTGGACAGATCCAAGAAGGAATTGGAGAAGCTGTGAATAATATTGTGAAACATTTTCACAAACCTGAGAAAGAGGTATGATGATCTATAAAACTTTGTAGGATTTTAAAGCCATTTTTATACATGATATATAAGGCAGTAGAGGGTATGTTAATTTTTATTTGTAAGCTTTCTCATAGCTACAAAAACATGCTTCATAGCCGTCCTCAGCACCTCTTCTTCTAGCATCTTGTTAAACATAGATGCGGCTGATCATCCTTTGGCACTGTGTGTTTTGCCCCACAGAGAGGAAGCCTCACAGTGTTGCTATGTGGAGAAAATGGACTGGTTGTGGCACTTGAACAAGTCTTCCATCATGGGTTCAAATCTGCCCGCATCTTTCACAAGAATGTCTTCATCTGGGACTTCATAGGTAAATTAAAGCGGGTGTATATTATTATAAGGTCACTGAAATGTTTCTTAGAAAACTCGAAGACCCAGCAGTTTAAGCAAATAAGGGTTAGTAACAAGGGAGTACATTTTTTAAAAGAAATACCAAATTAGCAGTATCTTTGCTTTTCATTCATTCAACAAATATTTATAGTGTCCATAATATTCCAGACACTATTCTAGATACTCAAGATATACATCAAGGGACACCTGGCTGGCTCAGTTGGCAGAGCATGGGACTCTTGATCTCAGGGTCATGAGTTCAAGCCCCACGTTGGGCATAGAGCTTACTCTAAAAGAAAGATAAACATCAAGAGATAAGTAAAACACAAAAATTTCTGTGGTTGACAAACTTATATTCTGGTGGGGACAGGAACCCAGACAATACACAAAAACATAACAGGTATGCATGTCATCTAGTATGTTATAAAGCTATGTTTGATGTGGAAAAAAATAGAGCAGTGTGACAGGACATGGAGTGGAGAGTGCTCTTCTAAGTGGGGCGGTTACACGCTTTGTCGACAAGGTGACGTTTGAGCAAAGACTCTAAGGAAGTGAGTCAAGCCCTGTGACAATCTGGGAGAAGAGCACTGGGGGCTGAGAGAACTGCCAGGGAGAGGCCCCAAGCTGGGAGTGTGCTTGGCCTTTTCATGGAATGGCAAGACTAATGTGACTGGGGCAGAGTGAGGGAGACAGGAGACTAAGGATATTGGGGAAGGGGGCTGTTTACTGCCAGAGCAAGGTGCTTTAGGGCCATCTAGGCCTTTGGAAGAACTTCGGTCTTTATCAAGATTGAAATAGGAAGTCATTGGAAGGCTTGGAGCCAAGGAGTGAGTGACATAATGTAACTTCTGTTGTAGAAGGACTACTCTAGCTTTATGCTGTCCAGTATGGTAACAACTAGGTACATGTGGCTATTTAAATTTAAACTGATTTAATGTAAATTAAATTTAAAATTCACTTCCTTAGTCACACCTGCCTTAACCTAGGAGCTACTAAATTGAACCTTGCAGATATAGAACATTTCATTCATCACAGAAAGTTCTGTTGGAGTATGCTGCTCCAGCTTGCTAAATAAGCTTTGTAATCTTTATTTTGGTATGCAGTTCTTCTAGAATTCCCAGTTTTTTTTAAAGGGGTGTTGAATCATTTTGTGTCTTGAAATATAGTCTAGATGAAGTAGTTGATTTTATCCAACTTAGAATTTTTAGACAAAAGGTTGACAGAGCTAGGCATTTTTTTTTTTCTTTTGGAATGCCTAGAATCTTACTGCTCCTGTTTCTGGTATGAGTATACATATCCCTTCCTCAGATTTCCTGAATCAGTTCTATTTCAAGGATTTTGTCACAAAGTGTTAGCCAGCCATTCTGTAACCAGAACAGAGGGCACCATCCTAATGGCTACTGTATATTTGCTAGTTACTCCTAGAAGATTCTCGTCTTGACAGAGGAGTCCATTTTTTTCTTTTTTGCCAATTTCCATTGCTTGAAGGTATTCTAAAGAGAGTAAACTTTTACCCTTCTGGAATGCAGTCTAGATTAGAAAATAAACTCCTGGAAGCATACTGTTCCACTGTGAAACATGGACCTCTGGAATTCATCTTGAAACCAATGATAAAGTAATGATTTTGGTTTCTGAACTGGCTATAATGCAAAGCATCAGTAGTGTTTCCAGAATAAACTAAGTGATTAATCTTTCTGTACATGAAGTATTAATGTGTATTGTTATATGATTCTGACTTCTTTCCCCAGAGAAAGCAGTTGCTTATTTTGAAACCACTGACCAGATTCTAGACAATGAAGATGATGTCCTTATTCAGAAATCATCCTGCAAAACCTTCTGCCACTATGTAAATGCTATTAATACTGCACCCAGGAACATTGGGAAAGACGGCAAATTCCAGATTTTAGTTTGCCTCGGAACACGGTATAAAGCTAGCTCTTGACTTTCCCTATATTTGTTACGTGTTGAACAAGAGTCCAGAAGGGGTTATGCCAGATCATGCCCCTCCCAAAGCTCTGCCCTGGGCTTCTTTCATTCCTAGTTTTCTTATGAGACTACTGTTTATTGGGTACTTGCTATGTGTTGGCACTATGCTAAGTACATGACATTCATTGTTTCATTTAATGCTCCTGTCACTTCACTGCTACACTACATGAAGGAGCAGCTGTTTTCCCATCTATACAATGAGCTGAGGCATAGCTAAGTTAACCAGCTTTCCCAAGGCCACACATCTAGAAAGAGGCAGAGCCAAGATTCATACCCAGTCTCATTAGAGAGCCGCAGCTCTCAACCATTACACCACACTGGCTCCAAAGGTGGGCAGATAGGTAGTAGGTAGTTTGCTAGGGAATTTGACACACCAGCACATATACATACATATATTTACAATATACCACCATAGTACTTTAATAACATTGTAGAATTCATACTATATAATTTTTTCTATATAAATAATTCTTAACTATATAAAGTCTTCTCTTTAAGACAATTTCCTACCCCTGTATCTTTTGAAAATGACACATAGGAGCTGTACAATCCATTAATTTTAAAACTCATATCAGAATTGTAAGAAATGAAACATGTAGACCTTTAGAATAATTTTTTTTTTTAAGATTTCTTTATTTGAGAAAGTACAGGGGAGGGGCAGAGGGCGAGGGAGAGAGAGAATCTCAAGCAGACTCCCCGCTGAGTGTATATTCCAATGCAGGGCTCAAACTCCCAACCCTGAGATCATGACCTGAGCCAAAATCAAGAGTCAGACGCTCAGTGGACTGAGCCACCCAGGCGTCCCAAGAATAAGATTCTTTTTAAGTTATCTGTGCAGTGTTTGTTTTTTTCTACAGCCCTGGCTCCCCAACAAGATTCAGGATGGCCTAGTTATGGCTGCTCTTGTCATGAAAGGCATATTGTGGGGCGCCCGGCTGGCTCAGAAGAGCATGTGACTCTTAATCTCAGGGTTTGAGCCCCATTTTGGACTTAGAAAAAAAAAAAAGAAAGGCATATTGAGGGATGCTCAGCAAGGACATCTTAGGTACTTAATGACATAACTAATGTCAGAGTTTAATCAGTACACACTGAAGGTTGGGCACCTGGGTGGCTCAGTCAGTTAAACGTCTGCCTTGGGCTCAGGTCATGATCCTGGAGTCCCAGGATCGAGTCCTACCATCAGGCTCTCTGCTCAGTGGGGAGTCTGCTTCTCCCTCTGACCCTCCCTCCCTCCTGTGCTTTCTCTCTCTCTCTCAAAAAAAAAAAAAAAAAAAGACACACTGAAGGTTGAGATGTTGTCCTCCTGAAACAACTGGTTTACAGAACTAAGTTCTTTATTTCTTAATAAGAGGGGCCAATTTCAGCTATGCTTCTAAAATTCCTTTTGGGGGCACCTGGGTGGCTCAGTCGGTTAAGCGGCTGCCTTCAGCTCAGGTCATGATCCCGGGGTCCTGGGATTGAGCCCCACATCCGGCTCCCTGCTCAGTGGAGAGCCTGCTTCTCCCTCTCTCTCTGCCTGCTGCTCGGCCTACTTGTGCTTTCTCTCTCCGTGTCAAATAAATAAAATCTTTTTAAAAATAAATAAATAGGGACGCCTGGGTGGCTCAGTCGGTTAAGCGGCTGCCTTCGGCCCGGGTCATGATCCCAGGGTCCTGGGATCGAGTCCCACATCGGGCTCCTTGCTCAGCGGGGAGCCTGCTTCTCCGTCTCTCTCCCTCTGCTTGTGCTCTCTCTGTCAAATAAATAAAATCTTTTAAAAAAATAAATAAATAAATAAAATAAATAAATAAATAAATAAAATTCCTTTTGAACGTGATCCTTATCTTCTTTTATATCTTTACTGTTCTGATTAATTAGACCACTGCACCCCCTCTGTAGGTTTATAAAATCTACTTAATGTTTTTCTGCTTTTTGTTCCTTACCTTATATAAGGTATGGATGTTATGTTGTGTTAGTCTTTTAAAAATGTTAGTCCCAACTATTTAATGTAGTCTTTCTTCCCAAAGGGTCAGTATACTTTGGCATGCCTTGCCACAGATGTCTGAGTAATACCCCTGTAAAAAAGAGATACAAAATGACATTCTGCCTCTTTTTTTAAAGTGTCAAATCGGGGGCGCCTGGGTGGCTCAGATGGTTAAGCATCTGGTTTCGGCTCAGGTCATGAGGATCGAGCCCCACTTCTCCTTCTCCCTCTCCTGTTCCCCCTGCTTGTGCTCTCTCGCTCTCTCTGTCAAATAAATAAAATCTTTAAAAAAAATAAAGTGTTAAATCAGAATACAGAATCTCTTTAATGTGGGTAAGTCCTTATGGCCAATTTGTCCAGACTTACTTTTACAATCTCTTGGATTTTCCCATTAGCTTACACTGTCTCATTAATGTATCTTTTTAACCAGCCAATTGCCAAATTCTTGACTTTGGTCTCCTCTCTGCTGACCTCCAAACTTGACTAGGTTTTGCTCTGTCCAGCCCCGCACCTTCCCATTGAAAGCTCTAACGTGTGTGGTGTTCTGCAGCAAGGTCAGCAGAGCTCAGGACTTCTTTCTCTTTGAATCTGTAGGGATCGCCTGCTCCCACAGTGGATCCCACTCTTAGCCGAGTGTCCTGCCATTACCCGAATGTACGAGGAGAGCGCCCTCCTGCGAGACCGCATGACTGTCAACTCTCTCATCCGCATTCTGCAGACCATTCAGGACTTCACCATAGTCTTGGAAGGCTCACTCATCAAAGGAGTGGATGTGTAACCCACGTGGCTAGAAACGCTCAGTCCAAACCCCTTGTTCCTGAGCCTTCCCCAACTATGGGGACTGATTTGGACTTGTCTGACAAGGGAGTGAGTCAGTGCGGGGGCAACACACCGTATTCCCCAATTTGAACAATCCTCACACTACAGACAAGGCAAAATGCTGTATTGTAGTTCATTTGAACCTGGAATTTAGTATAAAATAGAGTATTTTCATGTGTTAGATGTGTGTAAATATGCTATCTTCTTTAAGAAATTATATTACTCTAATAAGATACTTTTCTTAGATTGAATATTCCTGTGACTTAAAATAAGTAGCTTAACCGCATTGGGAGTTGGGGAGGGGAAGAGTGGTGCTAGCCAGGAAGAAGCCAGTAAACATGTAATTACAGTGCAACCCAGTCGGGGGCTTTTATTTCCCTCCAGGTATCACAAAGGAACCCAGAATGCATTGTTATATCATAGCCATCCATCCTGGTGTGTCCGATCCTTTGTATTGTGAATGTGAACAGCTTTACCTACTGTACATGGTAGTCCTCACTTACATTTTTTTTTTAGGTTACAAATGGTTTCATACATTTGAATTGAGTCACTTTTCCAGTCTTTTGGAAAAATTTTTCCGTCGGCACAAGATAAAGATATGATTCAAATATTTTAAATACTGGACCCCAGGAGCTTGGCTGAACTGGAAAGAGAACACACAAAGCCCTGAAAAGTATGTTAAATTGTAGGATTATAACTTCTTTACACTTTGGAAAGATTAGCCTAGACTAACTTCATTCTTGGCATTTTTATTCTTGTTATGTGAGCTACTTTGAAGAGATGTGAATTTCAGAGTGTTGGTCTCATAGTTATAAGAACTGCAAATGGCAGTTTGATTCTGTACTTATAATTTGGCCATCTGACCCCCCGCAGTCCTTACCTCAAGGGTAATCTCAAACCCTGTCTTTGTTAGGTTCCATTCACCCCTCCCCTCCCCTCTTCCTGTGCCCATCCCCCTCTCAGGAAATGGAAGGAATGTCTAAGAAGGAGGAGGGCTCTGTGTAGCTTGGAATGTTTTTGTGAAAGTATTTGTTGACCATGATAATGCAAATAACAGAGGGAAAGAGCAAGAATGAACCCTTTCTGGGTGTTTCAGGGCAAGTTTTATGTTCCTTTTTAAGAAAGGGTAATATAAAACAACTAGCCCTGAGAAGGTGAAAGCCAGGGCAGCACAGACTGACAAAAATGGAAGCAGTACGGGAGGCAACAGTTTTGAAAGACCAAACATTGTGAGTAGCTTTCCAGCTTGGTATTTTATAAGGAAGTTAAATAAATGGGTTAGCCAGTTACCTTGAGTCTTCGTTTATGGTAGGTCCTGTAACTCATTAGGCATTTGCACATTGTTAGCGGTGAAATTGCCTCAGCAGAGCTCCGGGGTTTATTCCCAGTTGTGGCTGAGAAGCAAAGCCATGGCCTCTCAGGACCCTTGTACAGTCTTGAGGGTCCTGGGCTTAGCCAACAGTATTGTTCCACTTATTTCCTGGAGGAAGAAACTAATGAAACAAGTGCCTCACTCCCTTTATCAAACACTGTATTCAGCTGGGGTCACCAAGGCACATCCCCTTTTAACCAGTGACTTAATCCAGGAGCACCGGGGGAGTTGAAGGCAGCATTTAGAAGCCCATGGAAGAGCTTTAAGAAGATGATTCTGGGTGACCTGGGTAGCCTGGAGATTTGCTCGCCTGAGGCTAAGGGCTGTCTGCATTGGTGTAGCTCTTCCAAGGACCTGGAAAGTCTATCATGGGAGGCATCCAGACCCTATTTAACAGGTTCTTGTGTTGCAGTGATCAGACAGCACAGAATGATCAGTGCAGGGTTTTATTATTCTTAGTACCTTTCTTAGAAGGCCATGGCTCTGGCACACTCCGGGCAGCTGAGAGATGACTTAGGTTAGTATGCTAGTATCAAGTCCTCATTTTATAGATGGGAACACTTGAGGATCAGAGAGGCTAAATACTTACCCCACGGCTGGTCAGTAACCAGAGTCTAGAGCTCGTGTCTTTTATTACACCAAGGCTGCATGAGACCGAGCTCCAAGGAGGCATTCATATTTTTTTTTATAAAAATTTTATTTATTAGACAGAGAGACACAGCGAGAGAGGGAACACAAGCGGGGGGAGTGGGAGAGGGAGAAGCAGGCTTCCCGCCAAGCAGGGAGCCCAATGTGGGGCTCAATCCCAGGACCCTGGGATCATGACCCAAGTGGAAGGCAGACACTTAACGAAGGTAGACGCTTAACGGCTGAGCCACCCAGGCACCCTGAGGAGGCATTCATGTTCATAGTCTTTCTACCCCTGGATCTTTATCCATACCTAAACAGGTAGGAAATCACTGTTAATATTCGTTTATAAGAATCATAAGGAGGGCGCCTGGGTGGCTCAGTTGGTTAAGTGACTGCCTTTGGCTCAAGTCATGATCCTGGAGTCCCGGGATCGAGTCCCACATCAGGCTCCCTGCTCAGCAGGGAGTCTGCTTCTCCCTCTGACCCTCTTCCCTCTCATGCTCTCTATTTCTCATTCTCTCTCTCTCAAATAAATAAATAAAATCTTAAAAAAAATCATTTATAAGGATTAACATTCATTTTAACAAATTATTCTCAAGTGGTTAAGAATTACATCCATTAGAAAAACTAGGAGCAAAATTGGATTTGGGGCCTGTGAATAAAGCTATTACATTAAAAAGTACCCCCAAAAAAGAGTTATACCTAAAGTTTTATCCCACTTTGTGTAGTATGACCATTACAGTGGAAATGACCGATTTCAAAAGAAATAATCACACCAGAACTGACACCTCCTCTAGAATGCTGGACCCTTTAAATTGGTTACCTGAGGAGCCCATATAGTTATTCCAGTGATAACAGCAGGGCTCCAAACCTGTGGGGACCTCCTTGCAAGATGCTTAGATGGCCTACAGCCCATAAAATTCTTCTGTTGCCAGTTATGGTAAATCTTGGCCTTTTAGAAGAAATTTAATATTTGGAAACAAAAAGTCCTTAGGATCCAAGCTGATGAAAAACGATGCTTAAGCAGAGTTTGAGGTCACAAACAATTCTAAAGAAATAAGACCTAGTTCTTATGTGGCTTATAACTACCTCTAAGCCAATACCAGAATATTTTGAGCAGGACAGAGGCAGACCCCTTAGAATAAGTGTCCATAGCTGACTTTTGGAAGGACCATACCCAGTTAGAGGTATCCTTTTTGCTATATTAATTTTTAATTAGTATATTGCTTCATAATCACACCTCAGAGTTAAAGTAAGTAAAAATCAATTTTGTAATTGACTTTTTTCCCTCAGAATAAATTAAAAGTAATGCCCGGAACCACAATTAGTATTTTCATATAATAATAGCTTGAGAGGAAATTGTTTTAAAATGAAATTGCCAAAAATATTACCTCTTGAAACATCTAATTTCCAAGTGTTTTTCAGATGTCCTGAAACTCTGAATCTTAACCTTTCTGATACAGTGGTGGGACAATGTGTGAGCCCAAAAAGCAGTGCCCTGGGTGGGCCTCGTTAGTGCCTTAAAACTGACTGAGGCTCCATGTGGGGTGTGGAGTAGCATAAAGTGGGATTCTAGTTGGGGTGAAATAGGCCTACAGAGAACAAAAGTTCTTCCTCTTTCTCTTTCCCACTGGGAGCAAGAATTTGATATAAGAAACCTGAAACCTGCAAAAGTTTGCAATTTCCCTCTAAAATTTATTTTCAATGTTTCCCACATTTTTGAACCTTTGTAACCCTGTGGTATTTACTTTAACACGTCTTTTTTTTAAAAATCATTTTCATGAACTCCTGTCCCACTACATGAATGATATAGGAGAAATAACTGAATTGCTTGTATTTCCTTTTTTGGAATAAAGCACCGTTGTATGCAAATGTAAGTGAAAGAGAGGTAGAGACGATACTTAACGGTCTATGTGTAGTATATGTTGACACCTCTAAGTTTTTTTTTAGAACAAAGCATTTTTTTTTAAGATTTTATTTATTTATTTAATTGACAGAGACGGTGAGAGAGGGAACACAAGCAGGGGGAGGGTCAGAGGGAGAAGCAGGCTTCCCGCCGAGCAGGGAGCCCAATGTGGGGCTCAATCCCAGGACCCTGAGATCATGACCTGAGCTGAAGGCAGTCGCTTAACCAACTGAGCCACCCAGGCGCCCCACCTCTAAGATATTTTGAAACATGAGGCAACAGACGAGGACCTCAGATCCCCAGGGAAATATTTATTGGACAGCATTGAGAGTGTAGCTCTTAATTGAAATATCTTCTTTCTGCTAAGAATTATGATTTTTCAGTGGATTTTCACTTGTATTTTCTCTGTGAGGTTTACAGAAACTATCCTTTTCACCATGTTGAAAGGACAGTCTGAACCTTAGCTATTTATATTTCAGTATTAACACACCTTCATTGATTGAGAATGGAGTCTCGAACTCCTCTCTACTTTTATGAAGTGAATGCTGTTTCTAGGTCATCAGTTTCTTTGGAAGCCCTTGTTCCTTACATAAGTATTTGTTATTTATTTAGCTTAAAAGGAGACAGAAATGAATAATAAACTTCTAGGCCCCTTATTCCTATTAAAATACATTTCTAAATCTCTTGGATTTCCAAGCTTTTTTGAAGAGGGTGCTGATGATGTGATCAGAGGAATCCAATCCAAGAAGAAACTCATCCTCCTAGATCTTCCTTGAGCTGATCATCCTCTCAAGGACAGAGTAGAGATTAGCTCCAGAAATGTATCACATTGAGCAGTTGACACCAGAGTGAAAAAAATACACATCAAAAAGTTTCTCTTCATTTGAAGGAACCCAGGGCATCCTTGGGTTATGTGGGAGAGAATCACACTTCATCTGGTTTCCTGAATGTATTTGTGTGTGGCTCCAGTCTATTCCAAACCAAATCTTGTTGAAAGTAGAGAGGTATGGTAAGGAGTTCCTGTTGTCAATCAAATGAGGGTGTTAAACATAGAAATAAACCCTCTGTGT